CACACACACACACACACACACACACACACACACACACACACACACACACAGATCTGAAAACAGGACGGAGGCTTCATGGGCGGAGAAAAGAGTCGAGGTGGCAGCCGGTCAGGGCGGCCAAGGAAGAGCGGAGGGGAGAAGGGGAGGTGCTGTAATGGAATAGGGTTGCAGAGGAGCGGAGGGGGAGCGGTGGTTGGAGTCGTCGGGTGGCATAGGAGCAGCAGAGGGCGAACGAAGACATGGGTGGGAGGGGGGAAGTGGTTTGGGGAGGGAGCCATGCCACTGACCTGAGGGTTCCATCTTGCAGCAGCATTCAGTCGATGACAACTCCCCCACCGTACACCACAGCTCACGACGCACCACAGCAGCTGGCCAACCTTAGGTGAGAGGGAGCCAGGGATAGTGTGTGTGGAGGTTTCATCCCCGACAGTCTGCCCAGGATGCTTTTGACTGATGGATAAGGACTCACCACGCCACCGAGCTATACACTAAAAAAATAGCATGACTGTGCCAGACTGTTTCGTCGGACTTTCGCCGACTCATCAGGAGGTTGAACCCCGACAGTCTGCCCAGAGTGAAAGAGAGAAGCAGAGAGGAAGAGAGAGAGAGTTGGGCGTCGCGCAGTGAAGTCCACAACAGCAAGCAAGGCATACGCAACATGGCACGAGGCACTACCCAGCATGCACTATGGCCAACAACATGGACCCGTAGGCGCAAAGCTCAACAAAATACGGCGCCATGCGGTTGCAACAGAAAAAGGCGAAGGTAGTACCCCACGGCACTTCGCGGCACGTCTATCCGAGCCCACGACACTCGACTCCGGCAGTACCCCACGGCACTCGACGGCGTGTTTATCTGAGCCGTCGGTCCAGACCGACGGCCTGGATCTCGGCGCGGTTAAGATCTTAAGACCGCATCTATCCAGGCCGTCGGTCTGGTAGGACCCGACGGCCCAGATGGCAGATTTGTTACATGGTTCGGTCGATCTGGGCCGTGGGCCGGTAGGACCGACAACGGCCCGGATTTCAGATTTGTCTCGTTAGCGATTTTAATAGTGTAGGGAAGATTGGCACAATTCTGTCAAGTCTGTAATTCAGCAGAATACCCAGGTACATGAGGTACCGACTCCAATCTGGGCCTAGAAGTGCATCCAAGATACACGCGCGACAGGCGGCAGCCTTTGTTTCACATGGAACGGATGGCAAAAGAATTCAGGGGTCGACAACATGTGAAAGGAATTGATGACTCCAGCAGTCCGTCCTTGAGGAATCTTGTTTTCAAAGATTTAATCTGGCAGCAAGGGGGAGCAATAGCTGAGAGGATTCCTAGAGGGATGACAAGCTGACAGTCGATCCTCTGAAATGAGCCAAGTACTCGTTAAGTTCAACCTCGCATACATCAATGAACACTCACAAGAGAGTTCACAGGTGAGAAGCCAAATCGAGATACAATCAACACTTGAAGATGCCTTCTCCAATATTATTATCAATATACAAGAACGTTTGTCTCCAGCAGCTCTCCCGCACACACACACACAACGGATCTCAATCAGGTGGCGGCTATGGCCTCTCTCTCTTCTCTCTCTTTTCTCTCTTTGTCTTGCTTCCCTCTCTGACTTGCCTCGCTCTGCCTCTCTCTCTCTCTCTCTCTCTCTCTCTCTCTCTCTCTCTCTCTCTCTCTCTCTCTCTCTCTCTCCCTCTCTCTCTGCTGCTCTCCTGTTCCGCGAGCCACCCCCCCTCTCTCTCTCTCTCCCCTCCCCCGCTATCGATCCCTTGATAACTACTTCTTGCTGCTGATGCTGCGAGCGCAGCCACAGTGCACATTACAACGCGTGGAGTCTGCATGCATGCGACTTCCGACACCCCGAACACGGGAACGTCGACACGGCCAGGGAGGCCCAAACAAAACAAAACAAAACACAAAACCTGCATGCATGCGACTTCCGACACATTCACAAAGCCTGCGGCCACTACGAACAGGCGCACAGGGCAATCGCGAAACTTCAGCGTCGCCCGACTTTTCAATGGGCCCAGCACATTTTCCCCAATAGTGGCGTGCAGGGTCTCACGTGGGAATCTTACACGAGACCTGCTATTCGCTTAAACAAGAGTAAGGGAAATCCAAACAAACTTCTTAGTTCTTATGAATTCAACGCTTAAGATTTTGCCATTCTGGGACATTTTCCCAGCCAAAAGCTCCTCGAAAAAAATACTTGCAGAACATAAGAACTAAAAAGTTTTTGAGAAATGCAGTGTACACGTGGTGCTCCACAAACATGAGCATGATTCAGACAATTACGCAGAACATGGAATTTGCAATCTTACGTCTCTATCGTTCCCTGAACTTTGGCGGTTTCAACAGATTTCTTACCAGGAGCTTCTGAAGAGGGCGGGAAGAATTAATGAAAAGCGACTTTGGACATGGTGGGAACTGCTCATCAGTGAACTTTACACCCATTTCTCGCAGCACCACTTTGATGTCCTCCTCGTATCTCCTGAAAGCTTCCTTAAGCTCTTCATCTGGCACTTGAATAGCTTGCCCAAGGAAAGAAGAGTCGTCTGGAGGTTGTGCAATATATACTTCCGAGTCTTCCACGTAACTTTCATCAGTCTACGCATAAAGAGGAAGAACAGAGTCAGTCAACATCTGCTCAATCCTCACTTTTCAATATTTTGCATGAGATATTTTCATTTCGCAATGCACTAAATCCTTCGGGACATCCACATTGGAACGATACAGAGAAGATTAGCATGAAAAAGAAAAAAAAAGAAAAACCCATTCACCATATGGATTTCCAGATATTTCAACTTTGTGCCTGAGTCCTTCGTAGGCATCTTACCTGGGGTCAAGAGAGAATAGAGCATAAAATTCCATAAATACTTCTGCAATGAACCCAGTCAGGAGGAAAGCTCAACAATGTCGAGGTACAGAATGTCTCAGTGCAGTTTCAATGTCTCCAATCGTACAAGTAATCAAGAGTCCAATGTCAAGTAACCAAGAAGAGAGTGATGAGAGGGAGATTAGACTGAGAGGGTGGAAGAAAAGGTAACCATCAGCTTCAGAAGATAGATCTCCCTCTTGGCCCACTCTTCCTTTGGGCATCTCCTACTCGCCACGTCACCAGACAATTTCCTCTGACACACACTGACATCGAACAGATCTCAACATGGCGCACACGTCGCAGACTCCTTCTGAAGACAACAGCAGAGTGCAGTGTCGACACAATCGTGAACAGGTAAGCTCTCCTTTCTTCACTCAACCAATCTCACAGTCCTGATCCTCCTCCTCGCCAATACCACATCAATGTCGTAGACAGTGTGGCGGGATCCACGTCAGCAATAATCAAGAAGAGAGCTGGCGCCAAAGACAGAAGATGGCGCCAGCGCAGTAGCAGTCTCGCGTCGTCGTCCAATATCAAGCCAGCGTAGAGCCAGCGTCCAGCCAGAGCAGCAAGTGCGAGACTGAATGTCGGTCAGCAGGGGCTGGGTCAACTTATAGTGTTGACTCGAGGTTGACCAGCCTCTGGTCTCTCGGATATGACGGCCCAGATTGACCCACAGTCATTGGCCTGGATTTCATACAGTTGCAGATTCTCACTTGGACAGGATACCTGCAAACAGCAAAGTGTATGTGTCTGATCAGTGGCCTGGGCTGGGTCCGTGTTGAGTTTGACTCGTGAGCCTGAATTTCGGAGCTGCTGTTGACCTTTGACTTTCCTTGGTCAAATGTCAAGCGTAGGGCCTCTGAAGCCCATTTTTGAGGCCTTGCTTCGGTACCCACAGCGGCTGGCCTTTGTTCAGGCTATTTCTTGAAATGGGTTGTGGCCGCTGGCCCCTGATTCGGCCCTTCAGACCGAGGTGACGACTTATGGCTCACGATTATAGCATGATACGAGCTGAGTTATTACACTTCACTAAGAATCAAACTCAGCGTTTTGGTAGGATGTACCTCAGGAATTGGGTTTTGTACGACTCTTACATGTCCAAAGCCATGAAGTGGCAGCTGCGCCAGTACAGTCTACACATAAAGAGGACCATGAAACGGTTTTCACCTGTCTGCAGTCACAGATGCGGGCCCTAGAATTCGATCCCCAGACCTCACTTTGCCCATGTACAGTATCGAGTCGACACCCGAGTGTTTGGACCCGTGATCTGTGTTTTGCCAGTATTTGTCGTCTGTCGTAGGTCTGTGTAGTGGTAGGGGTTAGATCTGTAGGTCTGTGGATTAGGAGTCACAGCTTTGTAGAGGTCGTAGCTGTAGGTATTCTGAAAGGTCAAGGTCGTAGCTGCTACAGTCCTGAAAGGTCAAGATCGTAGCTGCTACAGTACCCGAAAGGCCAAGTCCACAGCCTTCCGGAAGGTCCGGAACTGGCCTTTCGAAGTGTCTCACGTTTATTCAGAGGCAAGTGGGAAAGTGGTGAGTCTTTAGCCAGACGCAAGTGGGCAAGTGGTGAGCCAACTGCGTTACATCGGCAGTGCGACTGCATCTGGCAGTGCAATCCCATGCAGTCAGCGGCACCAGTCCCAGTCAGTCAGAGTCCAGTCAAGCAAGTACCGTGTGGGACTGTGTGCACCAAGGGCCTAGGAATGAGGCAGACCAACGAGTTACAGAAGTATAAATCAAGAGGCAGCGCTCAGCCATTCATTCATTCGCTGCGTAAGCCATGCAGAAGTGCTGCTACAGCGTCTTGTGCGAAGGTGGTCTGCAGGTTGCCCGAAGACGAAGTGGGCTGAAGAGAGATTGTAGCCATAGTCAGTAGTGGTAGTGCGGCCTAGGAGGAAATTAGACATAGTGTATGCGTGTGGTGGTATTCAGGGTGATCCAGAGTGAGCGTGTGTGAACAGTGGGGTTGGATACAGTGACGAAGGTTGGAATGTTCAGGCGCTGATGCGCCATAGCCTGTTGAAGAGAGCTTGCATCTGAACTGTGTTCTTGATTTCCATATCTCTAAGCTTTGAGTGGGCGCCCTGCACCAGTGTGAATCTCCACCTGTTTGCATGTGTGCGAAGTGGGAAAGAAAGCGAGTCTGATTGCATTGATATCAGAGCTGGTTCCCGTTACCCCACGCGCCATCGCCGTTGCCGGCAGGGAAGAAGACGTGCGCCAGTGGGGGCCATAGCTGAGGTGCACCGAGCAAGAAGAATCTGCCATAGCTCTGTTGCGGAGTGAGGTGCCGTGTACCTGCACAGAAGACATTGAGAAGGCCGGGAATAGACGTCTGTGTGTGCCCAATCGGGAGTTTTTGCATAGTTTATTTCTAGGTGAATGTCACGATTCCACAAGCCATTTTGGTTATAAAAAAGACTGCAGCCAACTTGCTGCAGCAGTTCTGGTGGCCCACAAGGATGAGAGATGCCAAGCTGTACGTGGAAACCTGTCAGGTATGTCAGAGAGACGAGCCACGTACACAAGCCCCTCTTGCGCTTCTCAAGCCCCTTCCGATACCAGAAAGGCCTGGTGAGAGCCTGTCCATGGACTTCATGGATACATTGGTCACCAGCAAGAGTCGAATGCGCTATGTCTATGTCATTGTGAATAGGTTTAGTAAGCATGCTAGGTTAGTCGCCATGCCTGCAACAGCTAAAACGGAGTATGTGATTAGACTATTCAAGGAGAACTGGGTCAGGGACTTTGGGCTTCCTAAGTCTATTGTTAGTGACAGGGATGTCAGATTCACAAGTGAGTTGTTGAAGGCTGCAGCTGCAGAACAGGGTACACAGCTGCAGATGACCTCCGGGAACCACCCAGAGGCAAATGGCCAAGCAGAGCAACTGAACCGCGCTGTACAATACCTGTTGCGGCACTACATCAAGCCCAATCAGGTGGATTGGGATGAGAAACTTGCTCTCATCGCCAGCCTGTACAACAACGCTGTGCACAACGCCACTGGGTGAGCCCTAACAGTTTGCTACTGACTTTTAAGCCTAGACTACCCCTTGACTGCCTATTAGCTGAGAATCAGCCGACTGCTGCACCTGGTACATTAGAGTTTGCCTATCGATATGAACAATTGATGCAGCAGGAGGTAGAACAGATGCACAAGGCACAGGCAGCGATGATAGATTCTGAGAATAAGCACCGCCGCCCATCTACATTCCAGGTAGGGGACAAAGTCTGGGTTAAGTCCTCAGAACTGGGTCAGGAGCACGGGATCTCCCACAAGCTCATGCCACAGTACTTTGGACCCTGGGAGGTTCTAGATATCGTTGGGGATGATCCGGATGGGCCTTCATATGTAATTCAGATCCCTGGTCACCTTCGCACTTACCCAGTCTTCCATGCCTCCAAGCTCGCACCTTTCCGGGAAACTGACCAGTTTCCTTCTCGTCGCTCAATGCTGCCCCCAACCATGGATGGAGAGGTCCACATCGACGACATCGTGCATCACAGAGAAATGCCGGTTCCAAGACCGATAGGAAGGGGACGTCCTCCGAAGCCGAAGATGCAGTACGGAGTTCGGTTCAGACATCACACTGATCCAAAGGACGATAGATGGTTCACACGTGTTACATCTTCGATGCCACACGGGTCCTACCGGACCCGACTTAGGGCCGGAGGGACACACCAGGGCCTAAAGGCCCGACCTTGAGGGTCACAGGCCCTAAAGGCCTGATTTTGCACTCAGCCCAGTGGGTAGGCCCAAACGACAGTTTGTTTGGGCCTGGCGGCTCTCTTGAGGCTGCC